GGGACGGAGCAGCCCCAGCGCCGCCACGCCGGGCTCCTGGCATTGTCAATCAGCGCTGAGGAAAGGTCCCTGCTTATCGGAGGGACATATTAAAATTTATGGCTTACAAATAGTTTTCCTTCAGCACATTAATCCCCTCCCTTTCTGCTTTTGCAAACAGGGGCATTAGAAAGCTACGTTCTATATAAAATTTTTATTGGCTTCAATTCATTCTGAAAATGTCTTCTGTGTGGCAAATGGATGCAATTTAGAGCCCCGTTAAACGCAATCTGTGAGAGTCGTACTGAGCCAGCCAGCTCAGGGCTTGCCTTCCCAGCCAGGGTGGGCTATGAAGCTGGAGGGCTACCATCTCTGCAAGCCCTCTTGTAGTCGGTGAAGCGAGATGCCTCTGGAGCAGAGTTATGAATGGAAGCTGTGAAACGGAACAGCCCCAGCAAACACCACTGACGCTGGCTGACCCTGCTGGGCCAAGCGGCCAACAAGCCAAGGGGCTCGCGAGCCAGCGGGGCGGCGAGGGCAAGCAGCCATCTCCTACCCGGGGCACGCATCCAAGGCCGGCTGGATCTCCAGGCTGGCCTCCCCGCCTCTGCCATCCTGACTCTGCAGCGCCTGCTGGGGGCTGCACAGCACCGCAGACCCGGGCAGGATCATGCCCTTGGCAGCAGGGACCAACGCTCGCTCCCTTCCAGCGCCTCTGTGGTGGCCCCACAGAAGGGACCTGGTGAGATCTGTTCCAGCACCAACATCACACCATGGCCAAACACCCCCCAGTCGCTCTGGCTCTGGCAAGCACCTCCTTGGGGCACCTCTGCCAAAAAGCAGAGGCTCCATCCCCAGCCTCGCCACCGGAGGGGAGCCAGACTGGCCGCCCGCCCCGCCACTGCACGGAGCGGAGCAAAGGCAGACACCTCCGGGACAGGCAGGCCAGCAGTAGCAACCCCGTTAAAAACAAATAGGAAAACGCAATTAAAAGCAAGTCCTGGGAAGTACCAGCTCTGAGACTCGGAGCGGCAGAGGAACAGATGCTGCTCCACGAAACCGAGAGCGTCTGGGGCCGGAGCGGCGAGCAGCAGCATCCCCGCGGCTCAGCCCAAGGAACGCCGTGTCGGCAGGCGCCTGCGCGAGCGACGGCGAGCCTGCCAACACTTACGCTCTGCCAGCGTCTCCACTTCAATACTAGGGTTGTAGCTCCCGTCGTCCGGCGAGGAAGATGTCCGGATTTGGAAAATATAGAGGGTGCCAGGCTTCAGGTTATTCACTGTCACGGCTGTTGATGTGGTTTTCACAGTTGAGTAACTTTGATCTCTCTGATCCTGTGGAATAACGAGATGCCTGAGCCCCGACCGGGCTGACGGCTGCGCCACAGAGCAGGCACAGCACCGCTGCGCCTTCGCCTCGCCTCTGGGCCCACCGGAACAGTCTATCCAAACATAAAACCCTCAACAGAAAGAACACATTTACTAGATGTCTTATTAATAGAAATTACATGGAAACATCAGGTGAAACGGTGGATGGAGCCAGGTGATGCGCTATGAAGACAGGACGGGGTGGTGGGGAGCAGCGGGGCCACCCCGCACAGCTCCTTTCCTCCGGCCCCTGCGCCGGGGCTCGGCTGCTGGCACCCTCCGGCCCCTTCCCGCTCCCCTGCT